CAGGGTGTTTTTGGGTTTTTCAGGGGATTTTGGGTGTTTTTCAGGGGATTTTGGGGTTTTCCAGGGAGGTTTTGGGGGTTCAGGGGTATTTTGGGGGTTCAGGGATATTTTAGGGTTCCCCAGGGGTATTTTGGGGTTCCCCAGGGGTGTTTGGGGGGTTCAGGGGTATTTTGGGGGTTCCCCAGGGGTATTTTTGTGGTTCCCCAGGGGTGTTTGGGGGTTCAGGGATATTTTGGGGTTCAGGGATATTTTTGGGGTTCCCCAGGGATATTTTGTGGTTCCCCAGGGGTATTTTTGAGGTTCCCCAGGGGTATTTTGGGGTTCAGGGATATTTTTGGGGTTCCCCAGGGGTATTTTGGGGTTCAGGGATATTTTGTTTTTGTGGTTCCCCAGGGGTGTTTGGGGGCTCAGGGATATTTTTGGGGTTCCCCAGGGGTGTTTTTGGGGTTCAGGGCAGTTTTTGTGGTTCCCCAGGGGTGTTTGGGGGTTCAGGGGGGCTCAGGCGTGCTGCCGGCGCCACACGATGACGGTGCCGGCGGCGTCGCCCGAGGCCAGCAGGGACTCGTCGCAGTTGAAGGCCACGGCGAGCACGGCGGCCCCGTGGCCCTGCAGGGTGTTCACGGTGGCGCGAGCGGCGCGGCCGACGTCGAAAAAATGCACCGAGGCGTCCTCGCTGCCCGTCACTGTCACGGGAGGGACATTGGGGACATTGGGGACACTGGGGACCCTCCTCGCTGCCCGTCACTGTCACGGGAGGGGACATTGGGGACATTGGGGACACCCAGAGCCCTCCTCGCTGCCCGTCACTGTCACGGGAGGGGACATTGGGGACATTGGGGGGACATTGGGGGGACATTGGGGACACTCAGAGCCCTCCTCGCTGCCCGTCACTGTCACGGGAGGGGACATTGGGGACATTGGGGGGACATTGGGGGGACATTGGGGACACTCAGAGCCCTCCTCGCTGCCCGTCACTGTCACGGGAGGGGACATTGGGGACATTGGGGGGACATTGGGGGGACATTGGGGACACTCAGAGCCCTCCTCGCTGCCCGTCACTGTCACGGGAGGGGACATTGGGGACATTGGGGGGACATTGGGGGGACATTGGGGACACTCAGAGCCCTCCTCGCTGCCCGTCACTGTCACAGGGGGGACATTGGGGACACTGGGGGGACATTGGGGACACTGAGGACAGGGAGCGAGGGGAACAGTCCCTGGACCCATCCCAGTCCCTCCCAGTGACCCCAAATCCATCCCAGTCCCCTCCCAGTGCCCCCCAGTCCCTCCCAGTGTCCCCCAGTCCCTCCCAGTTCCCTCCCAGTCCCCTCCCAGTGTCCCCCCAGTCCCTCCCAGTGTCCCCCAGTCCCCTCCCAGTGTCCCCCAGTCCCCTCCCAGTGTCCCCCCAGTCCCCTCCCAGTGTCCCCCAGTTCCCCCAGTGCTCACCCACGCAGGCTCCCTGTCTGAAGGACATCAGGGGACAGAAGCAGCTCCTCAGGGGCTGCTCCCGGTGCCGGGTGGGGAAACTGCGCCGGAGCCTCAGCCCCGGGGCCCCCGAGCCCCCCTCGTCCTCCACCACCCTGGGAGGGGGGAAAGGGTCAGAAACACCCCAAAATCACCCCCAAAACACCCCAAAATTACCCAAAAATCACCCCAGAAACACCCCAAAATCACCCCAAAAACCCCAGAAAAACCCCAAAATTACCCAAAAACACCCCAAAATCACCCCAAAAACTGCTCCTAAAACCTCCCCAAGACCCCCTCGTTCTCAACCACGCTGGGAGGGGGAAAAAGGGTCAGAAACACCCCCAAATCACCCCAAAATTACCCCAAAAACCCCAAACCTACCCCAAAACTGCCCCCAAACTCCCCCAGAGGCACCTGAAGAGCAGCAGGCGCTCGGGGCAGGCGTTGAGCAGCAGGGAAGGGTCGGGAGCCTCACACCCCCCAAAACCCCCCAAAGACCCCCCCAAAACCCCCTCAGACCCCCCCAGACCCCCCCAAAAACCCCCAGAGACCCCCAAAGACCCCCCAAAAACCCCCCCAGAGGCACCTGAAGAGCAGCAGGCGCTCGGGGCAGGCGTTGAGCAGCA